TATGCTTTGGTTGTTTTAAAGGAAAATCAAGGAGATATATCTAGGTCTGCTGGTAATGGTGCTAGCGAGGTTCCAACGACTAATTCAGATGCTGGTGAATCATCTTTTCATAGGCGACGTTGGCGTACAATACGCTGTGTGACTAATCCACTGACCACAATAATTACAGAGCCTGCAGTATTGCTCAGTGATGCAGAGCAATTTCCAACCGTATGTTTGTGCTTATTTTGAGCATCTTTCATGCAATAAGATTGTTGTTTAGACCCCTTGCAATAAATGTTAGACTACTTATATTACCGGTGGTTTTATCTAGGCATGTACTATGGCTAGACTAACCAGTGGGTGAGATATTAGTTTTTGTCTATTACAATTCAGATTGACTGATTTAGCCACACTGAATTCATGGTCCTTAAGTATGCTTTGGCTGGTTTGCAGGAAAATGAACAAAATGTATCTGCGTCTATTGCTGATGGTGCTAACGAGATTCCATCAACAAATTTAGATGCTGGTGAACCATCATTGCGTAGGCAACGTCGGTCTAGAAAACGAGCTGCGACTGATCCATTAACTACAATAGCTACAGAACCTGCTGTATTGCCCGATGTTCCAAGTTGTCCATATTGTCATGCAAAACAATTTCCTCTCATTTTGGCCGTTCTTGTTTAGAAATGTTCTACTACATCTATCATTTTATCAGGTGACAGTTTATCTATTTCCTTTATAAATATATCTTTTTATCCTGTGCTCCTACGCCTTACGACAAAAATTGTAAAACTGGAAAATAATTAACACTCGTATTAAAATTCTTGCGATGCCACGTCTCAGGTGACTCCATCATTTTAACATTCTTTTTGTTTGTATTAAAACCTTTAAATCATAATTAAAATTCTCATTAAATCTATTCATCGATATGTCCATTCCCCATGCACATACAAAAACACTATATCTAACAAATCCTATTGAAGTAAATTAATTACTCCTCTCACACTCCAATTTTCCAGACTAATACCCATTATAGTAAATTAAGAAATCCCAGCTACCTGACGCACAGCGTCAGGGCAAAAAACTAGTACATATATAAAGCATGAATCGCTTATGAAGTGTGGACAATGGGCCGGTTATACTGTGATTATTGTGATTTTGAGGGGCGTTTTGGTCTTTTGGCATTCGGTGGCATTGGTTCTGTTGGAATTTCACGGACGATTTTGGCAGTCAACAATTTCTGCTGACAATTTTGGCAGTCAGCAATTTTTGCTTCACTGGTTTCAGCCTCTAGAATCTGCAATGGTTGGACGAAAATCAACAAACCCATCTCCCAAACTGCCCCAAAACAACTCCTGTGTACTCAACCTTGTCGTACCAGCTTAAGCATTGGAGCTCTGGGGTCATATTATTCCTGTTCTTGTTCTCATTCTAACCAGAATAGGGGCTATAGTAGCAGCAACAGCCTTTTGGCCTTGAATGGTCTGAGCGACAACAGGAGCTCCAGAAAGCAGAAGACCCGGAAAGGCCGTGGCATCGGGTCGGGCAAAGGGAAAACTGCAGGGAGGGGTCACAAAGGTCAAAAGGCCAGAGGGACTATTAAGTTTGGATTTGAAGGTGGCAAAATCCCTCTTCGCCGCCGCCTCCCCAAACGTGGGTTTAAGAACCCTTTTAGCCTCACTTTTCAGGTGAATTCAATAAGTCTATCCACCCAGTCTTCATTATTACTGATCTTTTATCCTTTTCTGCAGTAGGATGTACTTAATTCCGTTGATTGTTCTCCTTTCTTTTTTTTTTCTTTTTTTGTGGGAAAATTAGTGAAAAGGGTGTGTTCTTGAAGCTCCAATGATGAATGGGCCACAAATTTGGGCTATTGATTGATTGTAATTCTAAATGCACACAAATATATTTACATTTTGTAGAAAAGTCGGTAGAGATGCCCCTTAACAGAAGCTGCTCAAATTTCTGTGGTATTCTTTTTGTGATTGATTAGTACCAAGTTTACTGATTTTGTTGTTGATTTAGTTTGTGTATTAGTTCTTCACTGTGAGATGGAGAATATGAGAGTCGATTTTTTGTTTGGAGGATGATTATTAGCACTTTGGTGATTTTTGAAGCAATGTAGGGTTAATTTGGTTTGGAAAGTGTTATTGAGCTTGTAAGAGTGGTTTTTCTTCAACGAATTTCTGTATCATGAGGTTGGTTGCAAGAAAAAAGGGAAACAAATTTGGCAAGATTTTTGTTGTGAATAGGGAACTATTTGTATTGAAGTTACCAGTATTGGATTTGAACTACTTAAACCTTGTTACATATACACACAAATTGAGAAGTTTAGGATGTATGCAAATGACAGGGTTGTCAGGTTGACTATACAACTCGTTGTAGGAGTCTTGGTCACTGGAAAATATGCAGAGTAAGATAATTTTGGAATAGTGAAACTATGTGTTGTGTAGTAAGGGAAAAATGTGCTGCTCACCTAGATTTGCTTAGAATGTTGTGTGGTGTTTTGTTATCCTTCCTTTGGATGAAAAGCAACTATTTAGTAGCTTGAATCCACAATTTAGATTTCTTTTGTTGGTTGCCCCTAGTAGAATCATGATGTTTTTTGCAAGGAGTCTGAATAATTGTCTTGAACAACTGTAAAGACATAGTACTCAAAACCAAATGAACTGCATGCTTATGTCCAATTCAAAGCTACAAGCAAGTCTAGCACTTTTCATTGCTGAAGTAAGTGACCATGATAAAGTACATGAAAAGCACAAAATGTGCAAGGTGAAGAACAAGCCTAGCGCTATTTTAGCTTTGCTTTTCTTAAAGGCCATTGAATCTGTTTTTGTCTTATATTGACCCTTGGTCAGTGAGCAGTGGGATTAGTTCATTGGGCTTAGTGGATAAGTTATTATAATTATACAAAAGCCTCGGATGACTTGATTAATGAAGTGTAGGAGCTTAATAGTTGTACTCATTAATGCTGCTTTAGACTATTGATTCTTGAGGCATATCTAATTTTTTTGCTGCACTTGTATTATGGTGCATATGTTATTTGTTATGGTATTTCAGTTTATACATATAGTCTTTGATGGACTTATTTTCTCTATTTATGCTAGAATCTGTTATTCAGCATGCATCTTTTATTACTTAAGACATTCACGAACATTATTGTTTGACAGTTGTGAGTTCACGAACATTATTATTTAAGCTGCAAATTTATAGGTTATTTTGTGTTCTTAAAAGAGAAAGAATTATAAATAGGTAAGAATTATAAATCAACAACCAAGTAAGAGAAAGAATAATCAAATAGGTAAGAATTATAAATCCAAAGAACCTAGAAAGTAGAAAAGAAAAATTTTAAGCTCAAGAAATTATTAGATATTGTATATATCTAAGCCATTATCTTAGTGAAAATTCAAAGAGCTTCTTCCATGCTCCTTGTACTCACCACATAAAGTGTTGCCTCTTATACAAATTATCAAAACCAAAATCATCAAAGTTTCCAAAAAAAAAGAAAAAAAGAAGAGATAGACAGCCTAAAAAAGGGAAGAAAGAAAGAAAAATAAGAAAATATGTATATTCACCCTTGCAAGTTAAAGTTGTTTAATATTGAGAGTCCGAGGCTCATTTTCAATAGATGATGTCCTATTCAAAGAAACCATTGTTGCTCCCTCCATTCTTGAACACTTTTAATCTATCAATCAAACAATCATCTGAATTGCTAACAATAAGAATAGGATCCAATATGAAATCCTGATTAGGAGAAATGGTAGTATATAACTATATATAAACCGAGGTCATGGTGGGCTAGAGTTGAATAAAAATTACGTGTCATGAATATAGACCTATTAATGTAAAACAAAAAAGCCACTGAATATACAAAAAAGATTAATTCAATTTTACTTTGGTTTGAAATATTTTTAAATATGTTTGAATGCTCATTCAAGTATAGCAAACAAAAGAAAATGACAAACCCATTTTATAATTGTCTTTCTTTATTTCTTTCTTCTAAAAGATTGTTAAATGTGAAGTACTAGCAAACAGAAATTGTCAAAAAAATTGGAAATTGTCAAATTGCTTGTCTTAGAGAAGTAACATGACTAATAAGCAATGCTACACATTACATGTATAGCTATATGCCTTTTAGTTCTACCTAATTTTAGGCATTACTTACTGATTAATGCTACATTAAGAATGTTAAATAATCATGCCTTTTAGTTCCGCCTAATTTTAGGCATTACTTACTGATTAATGCTATATTAAGAGTGTAAGATAATTTGATTTCAAACTCATTTTATTTGTGCAATTAGGAAAAAACACACACACACACATATGGCTACTATATCTAACAAAGATAAAAAAAAACACACAAACATAACAACAAAATAATGAGTCTCAGCTACCTGATGCATGGCGTCAGGGCTGAAAATATAGTATATATATAATCTTTCCAGAAAATAATTTACCAAAATAAATGAGAAATATTAACCCTTTGGTATGTTTGTATGGGCCAATGCAATAGAATTGGGCAGCTTCTCTTGGGCCTGTTTCGGGTATGTTGAGCATCGGCCCTTTTGTATTCTTGCTCTTAGCTTGACGAGCTGATTGAGCCTGGCTTAATTGGTGAATGGTGATACAGTTGTTCTCTCTAATTCTTTCTGCGGTCTTTCATCTGTTTATAGTTGAAAAACACTTCAGAATCCCTGATTCAGAGAGAGGCTATCTAACTATTGTTGGATTATCGCTGGCCAAAAATCGCATCGAGGTAGACTTTTTTAATCCGTTTTCAGTAATCTCTTTACTTCAACTTCCCTGCGAAATGAAATTTTAGATATTACCTGCAAAATCTTCAAGATTGCATACTTCAAATATGTTTGAATTCCTGTAAACTCTGCATTGTTTTGATTTTTGGATGTCTTGTTGAAATACTGGTGCTCATATTGACACGGCTAGAAGAAGAAAGAAAGAGGATGAAGGAGCTGAAAAAGAAGAAGGAATGAAGTTTAAGGAGTGTGAGAAGAAAAAGCCAGTTGCTAGTTTTTGTTATTTAACAAATCGGCTTCTGTACTTGTGGGATAGGATTAAAATTATTGGCATCTTTTTAGTATTGATGATTAAAGAAAACAATAAATATTTGCATGGATAACGCTCGTAGCTCAAAATTTGGGGGGTTTTTTTTGTTTGTGCGTGTGTGTTTGCAGTTAAGAATTGGGAAAAGAATTAAAAACCTAGTTTTATTAGTTTGCAAAGTTTTTATTTCTCATTGCTTTGTAAAGACTACCTTTTTTGTTCAACTCATCCGACTCAGAAAGTATTATGTAATTTTGCAGACGATAGAAGGCTAGATTCTGCTTCTTCTTGTACTTTGAGGAGTGCATCGAACTGAGTTTTTTTGATAGAATTTGATGTTTGCAAATATGAGAGCTTGCAGTAGATGGCGGATATTCCTTCTATCTGTGCCTATGATATTTTTCTTGCCTCATATACTATCAGGTGATACTTTATTTCTTCCATGATAATAATAGGTTAATTGCTACTATAAGTTTTAAATATGCTTCAATTTTTTATGAGTAAGACTTATGGGATGAGGATGTGTATTTATTCAGTATTGAAGTTGCAGGAGGACTTATCTGCACAAAATTTGCACCGAGACAAGCCCAAGAAATTCGATCATTTGGTTCTTGGAGCTGCTGCGGGGGTTGGTTTGCCTGATCGCCTGCAGTGCGAAGGTTTTATTTGCTTCATTTCTTGAGATAGAGTTGCATCCCACCTTCTGCTTTTCTATTTTGCTTAGATTCTGATTTCCATGTCTATTTTGTTTTTATTGTTGGTTCTTATGTGTATGTATATTATTTAGTTTGCTTGTATCAGAAATACTTTGTGCAAGAAGCGTGTTTGTGCATCAGGATTTGGTTGCAAAACTATGACGAGTAGTGACTTGCTAAAACCTCTTTACAGTGTATGCGTAGGGCTTGGATGGCTGACTTTGCTCATATTCTAGAACTTTTGTTGTGCAGGCACCAGAGCTCTTAATAGGACACAGTTTTCTACCTTCTCTGAGAATTCCATCAATGGGGACCAGATATCCTTTGTCACAGTGTTCACAACTTACAATTCTAGTGTAGATGTGCAAATAGATAGGAAAGTAATTGACTTAGTAACTGTGGGGAACAAATCATACAACAAGGTGAACAGATCACTGGCCATTTTGAATGTGTTCATTGATTTCATTCAGGTAAATATCTGCCTTTTGATAGCAACAGTTATCAACATAGGGGACAATGATGTTACAAGTAATCTTCAAATAATGGTGCCATTCTAAGGTTTTTTATAGGGTTGATTATGTATCGGGTGTTGCACATGCATGCATCACCTGATTTTTAGACATATTTTACATCAGAGGGGATTCTTGGGGTAAAATATGTATATCCAAGTAATAAGAGCCATGAGTGTTGGATTGGCCTTCACTCTCAAATGTCTTAGTACCTTTACTAAGTGCCATGGACTCTAGATGGTTAATGCTGTCAATTTTTCCTGTATATGATTATTTTTTCCACGTCTATTTAGATGGTTCAACCAAACATACATCAGTGAAAAGCAGAAGAAGAAGCGTCTCTGATCTGTTTGGCAATAGCTTGATTTTGTTTTCAGCCACCATTGATGTGACAATTTTGTTACAAATACACTATAGTCCCTCTATTTTACAGAAACTATGGTAGACTTTAAAAATTTGCTGATAAAAGTAATAACCAAATGAGATTCTTCATATTAAATTCATTTTAATTTGGACAAGGTGGAGAACTGGAGTCACTACTTTTTTGATGCATAACATATAGTGAAAAAAGGAATATTTTTTGCATTAAAAAAGTTTGTTTGATCACTCTTAAGATGTGAACTAGGTTGTTTTTAATGGAGGGGTAATAGTTTTGCATGCATCTTCTGTTCTGCTATAAGTGTTGAAGATACTTATGATGTCTACTTACACACACGTCACAAGGTGCTTGTGCAGTGATTTCTTTTTTTTCTTCTTCTTTTTTTTTTTTGCATGTATCAAGTTTTAAACACGTGTGCAACAAACTTTGCAGGCAACCATGTCCCACAGCAAAGTCATCATTCTTACTGATCCATCTTCTGAGCTTCCAGTGCACAGAAACAGGGTTACCATACATCCCATTCAAGGTGAATATTCACGAGACAGGTTGATGCTTCAAAGAATCAGGTCTTACATTGTAAGAGCAAAATGCATCAAGTGGAATAACTAGAATTTTTTATTAATTTGTGTTACCCTAGCTTGTCCTTGTGTGTGTTTTTTTCCTATCCTTCTGGTTTTTTCTAAGACATCGTGGCCCTTTTAGTGATTGACGTATCTGCTTTTCAATCTGCATGTGTTTTTGTGTTGTTTTGTTGGGTTTTTTTTTTGGGGGTGGGGGTGGGCTTGCCCTGCAATTTCTTGCTTGTCTGCGTATATGTGTGAGAGAATAACCTATTAAAGTCTCTTAGGATCAGTACAACCTGTTAGCAAGCAGCTTTTTAGGTGAACATCAAATACTAATGTATACACTATTGACTAAAGGTTCTACAAAGTGGTCGTTATTTTCCTGCATCATCAGTGATATTTACACTTTTTATTTGTGACCATGTAATGTAACTCAATTGTTTGCTTTTTCAGAATAACTTAGACCAATTATGAAGTTTCGTATCTATGTTTTTCTGTGTAAAGCATACTTTGCATTCAGCTGCAGAAAACTTGAGTACTTATAAATTGCATATTGATGTTCGTTGCACTTATCTCTCTGTTGACAGGTCTTTCTAGAGACAAGGCTTGAAGAATACTCACTGGGGAAGGGACAAATCAATCATTATATTTTTACTGACTCAGATATAGCAGTCATTGGTGACCTGGGACAATTCTTTCGTGACTATCCGAATTTCCATCTGGCTCTCACCTTTCGGAACAACAAGGAGCAACCGCTAAATTCAGGATTTATTGCAGTTAGAGGCACTATTGATGGAATGAAAAGGTGCATTGGTTTTTAAATAACATGCTATTGGTTAAATAGATCATGCAAGTTGGATGGTTATACTCGTACAATGACCAAAATGTCTAAACTCTTCAAATGGGGTTTCTTTCCTTGATTCCTAAACTACTCCTGGTTATTTGAGCAAAACCTGTTGTCATATTATGTAGTCTATTTTCTTTTGTCTGTGTCAGATCATGAGTTTCCTCTGAGAAAATTTTTCTTTCTTGATCCTTCCCTTTTCTTTAACATTTCAAACTCCTTTATGTGCAGGGCCAAGGCTTTCTTGGAGGAGGTACTCAAAGTCTATATCTCGAAGTACATGAGAGCTTCCAGAATGCTTGGAGATCAACTAGCTCTTGCTTGGGTCGTAAAATCTCAACATTCCTTTGATGCAAGAATGTTTACCAAAAAACAACCCTTTCTACATGACATTGATGGTACCTCAGTGTTATTTTTACCATGTGCTATCTATAACTGGACACCACCAGAGGGTGCTGGGCAATTTCATGGGATGCCCTTGGATGTTAAGGTATAGTTTAGCTATCAGTTTACGCTTTGCAATGATCTCTGTGAAGAGCTCAAACCAATTTTTATTTCTTGTGAACTGAATTCGTGCTCCCATCATGATCTGATGGTCTTTTGAGGGAACATGTGTGTGACGCTGGTGTCTACCTTTGTTCCTGGATGCAGGTGGTTCATTTCAAGGGATCAAGGAAAAGACTTATGCTTGAAGCTTGGGACTTTTTCTCATCATCTAATTCTGACATCTCAGATATGTTGTGCCTCATTCTGAAGAGTGGAAGGACAAAGTATGATTTTTAAATTTTGCTTTTTACAGTTTTCAGGCAGAGTTTATGTCTGTTAAGGATTTGATTCATTCATTTGTGGAGAAAGAGGAAAGTATTCATGCCAGTGGAGCTTTGGCATTCTAGAAGCCTGCACTTTAACTTGGCACAAAGGAAAAAGCCATCCTTTGGCCTTCAGTTCATTGTTTGGTGTCGTCGGTTGGCTGGTGATCTTTTTCGTCTTTCCTACTCTCTTGAGCATGGAAATCAAATCGTGTACCGAACAAATGCGGAATAGATTCCATTGTGAGATCTGAGTTTTCTGCAGTTACTAACCTTGAATGTTCTACTAAGCCCCAAAGCTCTTGCAAAAGCAATACGAGAATTGCATTTTAGAGTTTGGGCTTGCGTTTGAGCTGACAGGTTTTCTACATTTCTGCAGATTTTACATGATTGTTACGAGCCACGCGACATGCAAATGTACACTGTACGGACTTTTTCCATGTTCTTTCACATAAACGCCATCTTTCTTGTATTTTTTCCTTGTACTTTTGAGTAGTCTATCGTTGGAGGTGGGAAGTAGTTCAAGATGTAGACCTAAATGGTCTACGTCAATATAATGGCAGATTGTTTTGAAACCTGGGTTGGACCAACGATTCGACCGATTGGACTAAAAATCGGTCATGATTTTGGTTCGGTTCATATTTTGGATAGATTGAATTACAAATCGGTCAAGATTTTGATTCGGTTCATATATTGGATAGATTGAACTTGAGAACTATGCCGATCAAATCAAAATCAGAATGAATCATTGATTCAACGGTTCATTTGTTCTCATTCATTAAACTGAACGAAAAAGGAGAATAAGTGACTAATCATTAGGTGTTACACGGCTCACTTTCGTTACACCTTTTGTTTATTATCAAATTTGTATGTCTACTTTCTAGTTTTCTAATTTCCTTTAGATTCCAAGTTTCTTTTTATTATTATTATTTAACAAAGTTGTAATCTTTAATTTTCAAAGACATGGTTTAAAATTTAAACTCACAATATCTAATTCTCGATGACATGAATTTCATTTCATTTCAAAAGTATTGTAGTGTTTTTGGGTAGTATTTAAGATTATTTTTTTGATAGATACAATTGAAATGAAATTTATTTGTTTGAATTTGAAAAATTTATTTGTGAAAGTCTAAGTTCTTTGAAAATATTAAACTTTTTTATTGGATAAAGTCTTAAATTAGTTTAGTGAATGTCTCATTCTGTGTATATATATATATATATATATATATATATATATATATATATATATATAATTTATTTTTTAAAAAATTCATCGAACTAGAGTTGAACCAACCTGATCGATTGAATTGCAACTCAAAACACCTTGTTCGTTCAATCTAGAGTTGAACCAACCTGATCGATTGAATTGCAACTCAAAACACCTTGTTCGTTCAATTAACGTTCAATATACTACTAAAAGACAATAATTTTATTTCCCTCCCCAAAATCTGAGACCACACAAGGCCTTAACGTTTATGTACAAAAGTAGTCGTAGTAGTACTACTACCAACTACCAAGTCGTCGCCGCAAATCAATACAAAACGGAAATAAACTTGCAACGGTCAGAAAACCAGGAAAAGGGAGGGACGACTAAGATCAAGATGTTGTAGTTTTTGTCTTTTCTCAACGGCTGCTGAACCCAACCCCCGCCCTATCACCATCTTCATTGCTGGGCAATGCCTATCCACTACAAGGCAGGGTAACCGACACACAAGGTAATAATGTCCCATGAAAATAGAGTTCCAACCTATTCTTGGTCAGTGAGAGATATTCCAAAATTCGCTGGTTGATGCAGAATTCAATCTAACTAATCAACAAAAATTTTCTACTTTCGAGAGTAACTTCAATGTTGGTTTACAGGTTACGTTGTGAATGGTCAGGATAAGTGCCCATCACATCTTCTGCTCCCATCCAACAAAAACCTACACTCAGCACCGCAAGGTTACTGCAACAATTAGGCTTTGCAGCACCTGTTAGAGGCTTGGACACCAGAAAGGTCAGGTGTGAAGCAGGACTTATCCATGGCAATCAGTACATATGAGTTTTGAATCTACATATGATTCCATCTAGCTGATTGCATGAGTTTTCAAAAAGGTGATTGAGAAATGCATTAATGATACAAGCAAATAAAATTTAACGCTATCCAGACAACATATCATGGTCTGGAGGAGCATTGTAAGTGGTTAGATAATACTACTACTGCAACTAGAAAGCTAACACAGAATATAATCAGACAATGAGATGATATTTCACGCAGTTCTGTTACGCCAACTACATGAAAGCAGAAACTTCAGTTCAACTGCTGAACCGCCAGATCAAGAGATGATCAAGCAAATGTAATTTACCGCCTCCAAAGAAAGAATAACAATGGAGCTAGTAAAGACACCAGAACTTCACTTGTACATCAGAAAAATCTCAATAAAGTTGCAAGTGGGTAATAAATCTAATATCATGTAGCAACCCAAAATAAAATAACTTATGTCACTTTGATCAATGCATGCTAGACCAAAGTCCATGGGTATTGTAAGTTCGTGAAAAGCAGGCAAGAGCATTCCTCTTCTCTGTTTCGTTTTTCTGTATTTCTAATTTTGCAAACTCAAGATACAGTGCAGCAAGAACTCAGAGTAAAGATAGAAGGCAATGAAGAGCTAGAGTACCCCTTTTGTCTGGGGAATAACACCATTTTGTAACCATCACAAGGAAAATAAAATTTTAATACTTCAACAAATTAAAAAGAAAAGTATGGCAGCCACTTGATCATCTTAAACGCAGACAGAAAAGTAAAAACGAGATAGTCACAATAGGACTTGTACTCCACTTCATTCCCAAATCTCAGCTGCAAGGAAAGTGTAGAAGAGTCTAATTAGATGATTAAGAAGAAAATAAAAGAAAGCATAACAAGCACAACCGTCCCCTTCATGGTTATTCCGTCAGTGAGCTTCCAGTTCTCAATCAACATTTGAAGATGCTACCAAATAGAATAAAAGAAACAAAAGAAGCAATAGGTCGTCCATCTTTGGTATACGTATCAAAAACCCCCACATTTAGCCACACAATCAACACCCTTTGATGAATAAATCAGTATTTTACCACCTCATAAAGTCAATTTTCAATTAACTTCATCTATAACGCAAGCACTTCAGCTTTATAATCTTCACAAACTAAAAAAGAATATATGTGAAATTGAACTTAAGATGTAACTTCATCACATGTTCCTTTAGAGCATATTGCATGAAAATACTACTGTTTAAAGCGGACAAGATAGGGAATTAAACAGATCTCCCAATAAAATAAACTTGTTAAGCACATGAAAGTTCTCAAAGTTTCAATGCTTTAACAATCAAGATAGTCGTCCATCTTTAACAAAATGAAAGCTCTGAAATTTTTATATTTCCTTTATAATTGCACCCATAATTCAAATAAAGTTTAAAAGGTGTATTAGTTTTAAAAATGAAATTATAACAGTAATAAAGTTAGCCAGGTTGATGTTCTACACAAAGCTGCACCTCTTTCAGAAGAGGGCCATAGCAATGTTAAGGTGTAAAAGGATCAGAGTTAGTTTTCTTTATTTGGGATATTTTGTTAGCGCCACAGGGAAGGGGAATAAAAGGAAAAAAAAAGTTTCACAGAATCCCTGACATTTCAATGCAGGTGGCTGACTGATGTGTGAACCACAGTACTGCACTAAAAATTCAAATTGCAGGCATCAATCATTTGATTACTTCTCATTAAAGCTTTAAACTTCTACGTTGCTAGTCCAGCTCCAAAAATGCAAAATTGATAGACTCCAGATTAACTTCTAAATTTAGTTCAGCCAACAACACTTTCCTGTTTCCTTAAATGCGTTCTAGAGATTGTGATTGCTGTAAGATCTATTAATGCCTAAAAGCTCATCCCAGGCACAATCTGGTTGCTCTTGGACTAACAGAACTAGCAAGATGGTAACTTGCTTACTGATTCCAACGATCAGAATATGGAAAAACAAATATGGCAGCAGTAGGAAAATTAGGATCATTCGTAGTGATAAAATCAAACCAGAAAACTCTAGCAGGTCAAAATTATAAATTAAAAAAAAAAACAGCATTTTGATCATTGATTGAATATAGATGTGAAATAGGCATCACAGTTAACCTCAAAGTCTCGAGCAAATGCATCAATAAGTAACATACTATCAAACTGCTTAAGTTAAAAAAGAATAATAGCCAAATTATTGTGTGCTATTTTATTTGAGTTCCATAAAGATGATACATGTCCACCAATCGGCAAATTGCTATATGTTACGAATTCTACAATAATGAAGCTACAACAAATTACATCCCCAGGACTGGCAAAAGGTTGTTTTCAAGTTTCTTTTGACACTGATCAGGATGCCCAGCTAATAATTGTCCATTGACCACCAACCTTAAAAACACCTTCATCGTGGGATTGAAATTGCCTCCTTAGAAGGCACCATGAGATATATGCGAACAAGATTATGGGGCAATGAACACAGATATGTTAAAAAACAATCATAAGAATCAAAATGAAGAAGAATCAACTGATCCTAACCACACAAATGAAAGAATATATCACTGGGAACTCTTTTTGCCATTACCATAGTAGCTGAGATACCATCTAACAAACTTCTTCAAACCGGTTTGTAGATCTGTTGTAGGCTTATACCCAAGCTCCCTCTGAGCCAAGCTTATGTTCGCATGCGTAAACTGCACATCCCCATTCCTTGGCAACTTCATTATAGTTCTCTTAGCCTTCACCTTCAACAACCTCTCCAAAATGCTAACAAGATCCAAAACTGGCACAGGTGAAGTATTCCCCAAATTGTACACCCTCAACTGAGCTGGCCCTTTCTTCTTCCCACCACTGCCAGTACTCTTCTCTGCAGTATCCAATGCTGCCAAACAACCCTTCACAATATCATCAATATAGGTAAAATCTCTAGCAACTGTGCCATGATTAGCTGCCTCAAAAATCTGAATTGCCTTCCCCTTCAAAATATCCTTCGTAAAAAAGAAATATGCCATATCTGGCCTCCCCCAGGGTCCATAAACTGTGAAGAACCTCAACCCTGTTAATGAGAGCCCGTAAATGTGATTATAAGTGTGTGCAATCTCCTCGCCAGCCTTTTTAGTTGCAGCATACAAACTTGCGGGGTTATCGGTCCTATCCTTTTCTGAAAATGGGACCTTAGTATTCAATCCATAAACAGAACTAGACGATGCCCAAACAATTGCAGGCTGAGGATTCACGCTTTTGCAAACCTCGAGAACGCTAACAAGCCCAGCAATATTACTATGCACATATGAGCTAGGATTTTCCATGGCATATCTGACGCCAGCCTGAGCAGCCAAATGCATAACATGGGTAAATTGTACAATATCAAAAAGCTTCTTCAGGAGGGCGACGTCATTGATATCACCCTCCACAATGTACACCCCAGAGCGCTCCAAAAGCGCTTGCCGGGCTCTTTTCAAT